TGACGTTTCGATCATTGTCTCACGAGTCTTTTTCAAGGTGGAGAGGCTGGTTGACTTCGCAAGTCCTTTTTGTCTTTCGCCGTGGTTCGTACATTCAGAACCAGCAGGCGTTCTGGTAGTGCGATCTGTGGAGATGATCAGAACAGCTTTCGAAGCCAACCTACTACCCTCCCCCTTGTTACACGGGCCGAATCGTCGGTAGTTGTTAATCATCTGATTTACCATATTGTTTGCATTGTGTATAAATAAATTTGTTTTACACTGTTTTTAATATATTGTTCATTCCTCTAAATATCTGTTCTAGTTCAGAACTGATGTTTAAATTGTTTTCTCAGTGTTTAACTACTGTCGCGAGACACGTTGTGTTATTCATTCTTTTTTATTAACTGTCTTTAACCTGTCCTTATACTTTCTTATTCATCAGTTAAAAGTCAGTTTTAGGTAGCGCTTTTCTTTCGGTAACGGCATTGCAGCGTCAAACAGTGTCGCCAACGTTCACAGTCTTATACCTGAGCGTGAACGGACAAAAGCATAATTCTTTGGCGCACTTTCTCCAAGTGTGTATCTTTTGTCTGTTGGCCGACCAAGGAACAGCTGATTAGTGATCTTTTCGCAAGATATGCACAATCTGTCGTAAATGCATCCTCTCAGTTGTTTGTCAGAGGTCGCAGCTTAATTCCAAAGATTTTTCTGATTGCGCTTAAGCACTGAGTGCTGGGTCAACGTTTCCTTTTGATCCGTTTTAGGCCATCTTGTTTCCCGTCGTTACTAACGACTTTTGGCCGTCGGCTTGCTCAGAATCGAAGTTAGCAAGTAATTTCCTTTTCAGACTAGTTATATCATAATCATGACTTTCCGGAGACTGAGAACTCTGCAAGCCATTTCTTTCTACGGCCCATCTCCGTATCTTTCGCTGCTTTTATATATGAGGCACTTATGGTTCTTTGCATTTCTCAGTAATGTTGCCACTAACATGAAGGATACGCCGGCAAGGGACCGAGAAGCACGAACAATTCGGATTTGCCGTTGTTTATGTTGATACTATCCGTATCGTGTTCCATTTAGAGCCCACCGTTTGAGCGCACGTTGCTGAACAATTTGGATAATGCGAATATTCCAGGCTCATCTGCAAGCAGCGAATTTATCATCATCAGGCATCATCTACTACAATGAACCCGTTTTTGGCTGTGCTTGATGATTTTGTCTATGGACGGAGCGATCAAGAGCCATGTTAACACCCTTTTCTGAATCTAGAGATAATGGTAAAACGCCTCGACTCATTTGTCGTTAACTCATCTCCTGATATCGGCATAAATAACTGAATAACTTACTATCAGTCCCAAACTTCTCCAAGCCCACAATTATTTGTGGGAAACTATGTTTCAGGCTTTATTCAAGTCCACAAAATACATTCACATCGAATAAGCAAATTCTCAAAATTTATCAACGGTCAGAGAACAAAATCTTGTCATTGGTGCTCAAGTCTTAATAAAATTCGCATTGTTCTTCTTGATTTTGGAGTCGACCGTTGCGTTGGATCTTTGATCTAGCACTTTGAGACCTGTCCAACAATACTCAGATCGGAAATACGCTGTTAATTAGATATTCTTGGATTTCGCACAGTTGTTCTGTGACCCTTGTCCGCCAGTCTGCCGTTGTTCTTCCCTGCAGCAGTTTGATTTTATGGACTCATGTTTATGCTGGACGTAACTTTACTTTATGACCTAAAGCTTTCCATA